CCACCTGCCTCAGCCTCCCAAATTGCTGGGATTACAAGCGTGAGCCGCCGCGCCCGGCCCTTCTTGACTGAGTTTTAAGTGATTAACGCTTTTATGTCATTACAATTCTCTGTACGTTTTTGGGTTACAGTTATTGTTTGGGACTACTTTTGGTTCTACTTCCTTTTTCTTTTCTGTTAGCAATATCTTGATCTCTCTCTCTCTCTTTTTTTTTTTTTCCATAGTGTCTGTTCAAGAGAGTTTAGAAAGAAAATTTGGAAAGCATCGTGGAACTATTCCCATTGTACCCACAGCAGAGTTCCAAGACAGGATATCGGTGAGTGTGCTCACCCCACAGTTGTACTTTACACATGGTCCCTGCTCTTTTGTTCAGGCAGAGCTGGTTAGATGGATTTCATTTATGGCATAGTCTTTGTAATTAGCTTGACAGTAAGTGTGTGACATGTGTGTTTTTTACCTTCCCTTTTCATTACATTCTAAAACTGGAGTAAGAATCCTAATGACTACTGACAAATTTAAAATAAATAAATTTGGTATTTTTCACACACATGTTTTAACAGTGAAGGATTAATATGTACTTTAATTATTTTAAGCTTCAGAGAAATAGGAAGAATTGAAAAGTAAGCATTAGATTGAACTATATGGGAGTCCAAGAGTTTGAGACCAACCTGGGGAACATAGCGAGTCCCCATCTCTATAGAAAGAAAGCAAGAGGCCAGGCTCGGTGGCACACACCTGTAATCCCAGCACTTTGGGAGGCCAAGGCTGGGAGATCACGAAGCCAAGAGATAGAGAGCATCCTGGCCAACATGGTGAAACCCCGTCTCTACTAAAAATATAAAAATTAGCCGGGTGTGTTGGCACTCACCTGTAGTCTCAGCTACTCGGGAGGCTGAGGCAGGAGAATCACTTGAACTTGGGAGGTAGAGGTTGCAGTTAGCCAAGACTGTGTCGCTGCGCTCTAGCCTGGGCCACAGAGAGAGACTCCGCACCCCTCCTCCACAAAAAGAAAAGAAAGGAGGGAGGGAGGAAAAAGGGAGAGAGGGATGGAGGAAGGAAAACTTCTTTACCAGTAAATGATGGAAGACATGAAAAACAAAAGTCCATAGCGCATAAACCTGGGGAAAACATTTATCCTCATTGTTAGAGAAATACAAATTTAAAAAGGGTTTTTTAAAATGTATTAACAAAAACAATGAATGGATCTTATGTTCACCATGTATATGGTGAAATAGTTGTACCTATATTGTAGTGACAGTGCACATTGGTGCAGCTCTTTGGAAAATGTGAAGTTATTAAAGTGTTCCTGCCCTTTGGTGCTATGAAAATCTCCCCTCTGGGAATTTATCCTAAGAAAATAATTCAAAAGAGTAGGAACCACTACTCTGCCTGACTTTCACTGGTCTTTGTCTGTGTTTCACAGTTCAGCCTCTGCATGCTCCTGGCATCGGGTCAGTCAGATAAACAGGCCCCCAGTACATGGGCATAGTGAGCCCTTCCCCAGCATCGTGGAGTGTATCTGCACTCTAAGTGGGCTACTAAAATGTGTAAGGGGAAAAGTGATACAAAAACCAGTTCCAGAATGTTC